AAAAATACATTACATCTACTCCCACTACTTTACCACCCTTGCCGCTACTACTACACCACTACTTTACACCCAGCTACAACTACAACGGAATCTGCCCTACTGCAACTAAAGCATTGCTTCGACCGCACCGCTCCTGCTACTACGAGAGTACATGAACCATTACCAAAATGAGTCGAAGACATACCAACTTCTTAAAACAAGACCTCTGGTATGGTAAGCACCATAGAAACAACCATGAGAAGCTTGACATACATCAGTGTTGTTTGGAAGGATTTTATTTCACAACGTCGTTCTTCCACAACCACCTTCAATTGAGACACTTCATACACAACCCCCTTTGTTTATTTGAGTAGTGATATGCGAAATTTTGTATTTGAAAATAATGGCAGGGAAATTTCTTATGAGTTTCTTGAGTGAAGTTTGCATTATTGTGCATGTTCAGACATAGATGATGAAATTGAACTTGTAGACCCTCAATTGCATTATCACAATTATTTATACTCTTTTTACTGGTGAATTTCTAGGTCGAACACAAATATTTAAAGTCGCAAAATTTTATCAAGAAGTTCATACTAGATGAATGCAACGGAAAAATAGAAAAGTTGGCTCACTTGCGAGCGAGCCAGAGTGCTATACTAAAACTAAAATTAAAGAAAAGAAAGTAGATGAGTGCATGGAGAGACATTCAGCAGAAGTAGTGCGCGAGCGATGGGTGTAGCGAGGATGGTGGTGAGCGAGAGCAGATGGGTGAAGGGAACGAACTATATATATGATTGCTATTAGGTAAGCGATAAGGAGGATCAGATAATGTTGTGTCTGATTTGTATATTATTAAATGTCTAGATTCCGATGGATGTAATGAGCGAATGGTGAAAATGAGTAAGCGAAACATATATTTATAACACGTAATGAAAGAAAAAGTTAATGTAATTGCACAAAATGATTAACACAGAAACTAACTTCGCTGGTACTTGACCTTAAGGGATTTACAACAAGACTTTAATGACGCCCAGAATCAGAATATTATAAGTAAGAAATTCTACTGTCACCAGACATTTCTGTGACCCAATAGACCAGTGCCTATACCCTATTAATTATCCTAATCTCCGTCTAATTAGTGGCTTTACCCTTCTGTTACCTCTCTTTAATCAGAATAAAATTCAAAATAGCAACTAAGCAGGTCGACAAGGCTCCCGCGTTCTAACTACATTGAACAATTTAGAATCTATTAATGAATACGACATGAAACTAGACTAAGATATTTGTTCTTCCACAGCAAAATAAAATTCTAATCCTAACACTTTGACACAAATATGAAGCGGGGATAAAGGTGAATATGAATCTATCTTGATATTTCATTAACTACCAAGAAAAAGATAAAGATCTACATTACAAAAGCATTAATCAAAGTTGTAAATCAAAGAGTAAACTATTCTAGAAAGTAGTAAGGTGAGCGGCCAAAAGGAGGAGAAGATCTCAACTCCCCTGGTTATTCATATCTAAAGAACTCCCTTACAGGGTTGAAGCTCTTGGAATGCACACAAATCTGCATAAAGTAATGTGTGTCGTGTATCACGTAATGTGATGAAATATACAAATGGTATCTGCTCCTATTTATAGGTTTAAGGGAATGGCGGTTGCAGAGTAGTTGAGCCGCAGTTGAAACTACTTGGACAGTTAGGTGGTTGATGGTAGTTAATCTGTTGAAATAGTTGCACCGGCCGTAACTTCCTGGTTGCCGCTTTGCTCGCTTTAGAATGTAAGAGCACAGATCTTCCTCGCTTACCTGGATGGTTGGAGGGCATCAGCACAGCTCAAGCGATGCTTTCGTTACTGGCTGGTAGGGGAATGACTAGACCGCTGAGAGATGAACACTTAGTAAATTTTCGGAGTGGTATACTTTCGCTTCTGCAGCGGCTGATGTCTAGTCGCTGGCGTTGGCGCAAGCGGAAAGAGTGTCGTTTGCCAAGCCAGAGCACCGTCGCTTGACTTTCAATACTTAGCTTTTTTTGGACCAGAAACATCGTTTAAAAATGCCAAAAACGTTAATAATCTCAACAAACGAGCTCTGGATTATACCAAGCGAAACAAATCAATAAAGTATGCTATAAATAAGATTTTGTGATGATTTTCACATAAAAATTCAAGTAATACACAGTTTTGTCAAGCGAAATATATGCTTTTATTTGGAGTTATCAAGTAGCTCCCTATCAAACGCAACAGATTAAACCTCCGAATCGTTTACATCATCCCCATCATTGCTCCATTCTCCGACACGAGTGCTCACAGGATCAAGCCAACGGAAAAAATCACAGGCTCCAACTCGGCAATTGTAAAATAATTTTCCTTGGGTTTTCTTCGTTGGGCCGACGACACGGATTACTACAACAGTCCCACACTTGCATCGTGGGCATCGATACCTTAGGTCAAGATCTCCCCGGCCCCTAGACTTCGATTTTGAGCCGCTAAATGACATCTCTAGCAAATGATTGCAAAAAGTCTCAAACACACAAGATTATATGCTTGCAAATAAATTCATATATGAGCCATAAATATTCACTCCCTATCATTGAAAATTACTAGAAAATTTATGAATTATAGAATCACGATTTCGGCCCTAGATAAAAAAAAAAAACAAAATCACTTCAAGCCAAACAGAGTGATGTAAAAAATTAGGATTTAAAAAATTAGAGGGTTTCAAATAATTCCAACCAAAACAATGATTCAATATTGCGAGTAACACTAGATACTGAATTAGAAACAAATTACCGGAACCCATTTCCCCCAACAAACATCCGTTTTCTGTAACAAATCAAGACACCAAATCCGACAACGATAATACATAAGTTGTATTCGATAAAAATTCTAATCAAAATTTCAGTCTCGCGATAGGAAACGCATTGCTACAACACGATCTAAATTCGACGGGCAAAATCGCACTGAGACCAAAAAACACCCAAAACAAATTTTCAGATTCAAGTTTTAGAAAAAAAAATGGCAAAATGCAACAAAACTGCTGTAATTAAAGTTCAACTACTGTTACATACGGATGTACCCGAGGTTTGTGGAAACAAACTGTCGGTGCCGGCAGGGTGGAGGTTGACGAGGTAGGTGACGGAAAACGACGGGCGATCTCCTGAAGGAAGGAGACGCTGTGCGAATGAGAGAAGGGTGCAGTTAAGTTAATAAAGCCAGATGGGTATTTTTGTAGCTTCACTCTCAGATATATGACTCTCTGAAGCAAAAATCGCATTTTGGGCATGTGACATACATTTGTCGTTAAGTCCTAACGGATAGGGTGTTTCCTGCAACATTTTACAAACTACAAGTAAGTTTTTTCGAGTTTTAGGACTAGGGGATTTTCAGCAAACTCTTGTGTGTTTTTTGCTATTTTGCTTTTTTTTTTTTAGAAATACTTACAATTATATTTTTATATTGGGAAAAAATCAATTGTGTACCAATATCACCAAAATTTCAATTTTGGTCCCAATATAAAAAACCCATCAATTTTAGTCAAATTATAAACAATTTCAATCAATTTTGGTCTCACCATTAAAAAAACTAACGGAAATTGCTAACGTGGACGTAACGGAGTTGACGTGGCAGCTGACCTGGAAACTACACAACAATGTACAATTATACACGATCATGTTGTCACACGACCATGTATATTTAAATGTACAATTATACACGGTCATGTTTTCACACGGCCATGTTTAATTTTACACGGCTGTGTACATTTTTATTTTGGTCTAAATTTTTTTTTTTTTTGGTTATATTTTTTTTAAAAAAAAATATTTTGAATTTAGAATAGTTGATATAGGTAAAATTGAAAAAAATCAATAATAATCTAATATAATTAAAATGTACAAATTGTAATTCAAATATAAAAATTTATAGGATATGTTTTGCTTAAAATATTCATCAACAATTTTCCACTTAGAAACATTCAATTACACAACTATTTTTTATTTTTTAATATTATATTAAAATTTTATTTTACATTTCAATACAATTTCAAACAATTTCAACATAGACATATATAATTGTATTGAAATATAAAATTAATTTTTAATACTATAATATACAAAAATAAAAAATAGTTGTATAATTGAATATTTTTAAAAAGAATTTTAGATAAAATCTTTCAAAAGAACGTACTCAGATAAATTTTTATATTTGAACTAAAATTGATACATTTTAATTATATTAGGATTAGTATTGATTTTTTACATTTTAACTCTATAACTATTCTAAATTTATTTATTTATTTTTTAAAAATATATATAAAAAAATAAAATTTTAGACCAAAACAGAGAGGTATATATGACCATGTAAATTTTACATAGCTGTGTAAGAACATGGTCGTGTATAATTGTACATGACCAGATAGTTTCCAAATCAGCTGCTACATCTAATCCGGTATGTCCATGTCAGCAATTTCCGTTAGTTTTTTTTAACAGTTGAACCAAAATTGATTGAAATTGTTTATAACGAGACAAAATTGATTGAAATTGTTATCTTGAGACCAAAATTATCAATTTTGATATTGAGACCAAAATTAATTTTTTTTATATCACCATTTTTTTAATCATTATAAATAAATTACATTTGTTCACTAAACACTATTTTTCAATTATAATTTTAAAAAATAATAAAAAAAAAATGTTAAACAGTAAAAAAAAAAAGAAAAATTAAATACTCATTAGAAAAAAAGTATTAAAATATTCAAAATATTCAACTTAAAATAAATATTTTATATTTTTGATACCATTCTCTATATTATATACAAAAATTAATTTATACCTTTTTGGTGAGAAAAAATATATATATATATATATATATCAAATTCTAAACTATAAAAAATAAACAAGCAAACCATGTCAGTATAGCCTCATCTAAATAAAAATAAATAAAATAATCCAATCTGAAAAAAGAAAAAAAAAAAAAAAAAAAAAGAAAAAGAAAAATCCACTATCGATAAAATATCAAAAACAACAACATTAGCTAGCCCTTCGCTGCCGCCTTTTGGATTCCTTCTATTAATTGTCTCGTCTCTCTCCTTTCGCTGGATCGATTCTCTCTACTTAAGCTGCCGATCGTTGCACTGCTGTTTCTGTAGCCGCCATATTCATCTTGCCGTTGTTATCCTCTCTCTGCTACTCAGTGGAGTGGTTGATTTTTTGCTCTATTGGATATGGAGACACAAGTAGCAGAGGGCGGCGGCGGGGGGAGGCGCCGGCAGCAGCAGCAACCCGCCGGATTAGGTCAGATGCTGACAGGGATAATTAGGGTAGCAGTTTTCTGGTACTTCGCCTCTAAATTTTTTGGACCCAAGAGATCTCCTACTCAATCCACACACCAGATCTCCAACCTCTTTCAAAAAGGCGAACCCTTGGTGTGTATACTTGGTCTTATTTGGAAGTACTGCTCGTATTAGATTGTAATCAATGCATATTAAACCTTCATGCATGTATTATGTATACGTGCTCAATATCAGTTAAGATCTATAAGGGCGTTTTTCGTTAACATATATTTATGGTATACCAGGTCTCTTCTCCGATGTAGTTATGCGATTATCTGATTAGGGCTAACTGACGACATTCAATTGAATTTCTTATGTTGTTAACTATGTGTAACTCACCAGCTCTGCTGCTGATGAGGTAATAATCTCAGCAACGAGTGACTTAATTGGTCAAGTAGATGGACTTTTGAAGCAAATATTAGGGGAACTCACTAACCAAAGTCCTTTGAAGTTTCTTTGGTTTAATGATGAACCTAGATCAATAATTTCTGCAGATTCAAATGCATTTTGTGTAGTTTTCAAGGATAGAGGATTGTAGTTATCATTCATGATATATAAAAACCTGATATTTATTTTACATGTTTTCCTATGTATACATATAGGTATGCATGAATATGTATGTACATACATAGGTATAGTCTGATTAATAATGCTAATAATTGGGTGACCTCCAGATATTTGGTGGTTGGCATGATCTGCTTATATCCATTTTGTGTTTACACATAATCACGTTGTCTGGGTTGTTTCATGTGCCATTTGGAGTCATGCACTAAATATTCAATTGCTCACACAGAAAAATTGAGGTTCTATTTGTTTGATCATGGATGAATGAGGGGAACCAATTGAACCTCTGAAGTGGCTATACCATGATTCAAATTAAAATGCTCAAAACTCTGAGCTTTTGATTATATGAAGCATCTAATGTCAAAATACCTTATATATCTTTTCAGGATATGTGGCTGTACCTTTCTGAGAAAGAGAAGTTTAATGACTTTGGAAATGAAGCACTCCTTGTTTGGCAGGAGACAAATATACCCTATGCACTTTGGACTGCAGATTCAACAAGAACTGTGTCCCTGAAGTATTATCCTTCTGAGGTATTCTTATTGTACTAATGGGTGCATTTTAGAATTAGTTAATTTCAAATTCTTTGCACATATATATTATATATATATATCAACTTCCCTTGTATTGGCTGTTATTTCATTCAGTTGCATGTTGTTGGCTACGAATTACTGTATCTTTCTTCTGAATCTTAGGCATTAAAGAACAATGGGAGTCTCTATGCTCATGTTTTCTTTGCTAGGTCTGGCTATCCGCCAGATCCTAAGGATCCTGAGTACCAGCCGTTGGCTTCTTTTGGGTTGACCCATCGTAAGATTATTCTAACTATTCTTATTGGGCTATAACTCTCTATTTTGGGTGTCGAAGTTCTTATATTGATCTTCCTTGTGCGTAGGTGTGGTTATATACTTACCCAAGTCGAAGGCTGACAAGAAGAAGAGTTTGTTGGGGGACACAGAAAGCACTAGCAATGATGAAAAGGTTTTTGATGGATTATATTTTATATGTTTGTTTATAGTATAGATAGCGTACCCATATATGTTCTTTGTTATATTACTTTCCAACTTAATTTCTTCAGATCTTGAAGTTATTTCCTTAGTTATCTTATGCCGTTGTATCATTAATAAATTAATTTTGCTTTAGGTAGTCCAAGATGCATTTGTTGATGACAAAGAGATTGGGCCAATTGAATGGACTTCATACTGGAAGCCTAATATTACAATAAATCTCGTTGAAGATTTCACTAGGTAAAGTTGTCTAAACATGTATAAAGAGATAGATGTTTACTTTGAGCTATAATGCTACTTAATTTGCTGCTATTTGAACTGATGTTAAGAGTAAGATTGTGTGTTTTATTTTTCCATAGACCTAAATCTAAACTATCTAGCCGAGTGAAGATTACTATTCCGATGTAGCTATATAGAAGTATGATATGTGTATCATATACGTTGAGACTCACAAATATGGCTGCTTCAGTTTCATATATCTTAAAGTAATGGAAAGGATTAATTAATGTTAGAATCTCTATACATTTTGGTTGATTAACCTGGTCTGTTTGCTGTCTCATTTAGACAAACTTAGAGCTGTCTTATAGTTTGGGAGCAAATGAAAAAGGCAGAGAGAGTTGCTGATTTTTTGAATGGTTGGCCTATGCAATTAAGCTGCTCATTAACTACCAGTACATTTATGATGAACTTAGGGATGGCATAGTGAATGAATATTGGTTATAATTAACACTTTCATGGGAAATTGCTACAATTTTCTACATAAGACAGTTAGAGATTGAAATTTTCAAATATAGTGCGATGATCACTGCACTAACTCAATCATCCATGGTTTAGGATATCTAAGCTGTGTCTTTTTCATATATTTGATATATTGGCTGCTAGTGGAACATCATGTTTCCTGAAAACGCACCATTCTGCATAAGAAAGTGCATGTCTCTGTGGGCAATTATCTGGAGTGGAAGTCAGTTTGTATGTATCGCTACAGCTTAAGTCATGACTATCCCATTGTAGTCAACTTGTTTGCTTATATAACTATCCTAGCGACTATAATGTGATTGATATGTTTCACAATTCACATAATGATAATACTTGCAGTAGTTAAAACACATGAACATCTCTGTATAACCGATAATGTGATTGAAATATGCTTCTTGATGACTTTTACGGTGATAAAGATATGTGCTATGCGTATTTGTTCTAGTTTTCAGAGGTATAGTTTCTGTAATCAACTCTTTATGGTTTTCTGTTTGACCAGATGCTTACTTGCCAAATGATCTCTTATTTGGTTTCTCTTGCAGATATCCTCAGAATGCAGTGCCTCCAAATATTGCTCCTTGTATCCTGACATTATTGTGGTCTTTATGTTTCATGACCTTATTTGTTTTGAACTAACTTTATCATCTGCATATTAGCGGATCTAGGTTGTTCTCATCCTTAGTTCTCAAATTTATATATATATATATATATTGTGTCAAATCCAATCTCAAAGTGTGCAAGCAAGTTTTACACATCAGTGACAAATTTGTCTTGAGACAGCCTCACTCGGTACCCAAACAAATCTTCAAATAATTGAATGTTAAATGTTGTGGGTAAAAATGCTTTTGATGAGTCTTAGTCTACCATTATAATTGGTATTGTTCTTATTTACGGACAATTGTCATTTTGATGAGTTTCATTAAGTGCTTATTCTGAAGCATATGCCATGTGTATGGGAATCTATAAAGTTGGATCTTAAAATGTTGCAAATTTTATGGAGCCAGTTTTGTGGATAATAGATAATATTCACTGATCTCTTTAAAGTGTAGTGTCCAATGCTTTTCCCATTTGTAGTATTTGCCATACAACTTCCACTGGCCACTTCTGCATACTTATCACGAGATTGGCATAGACAGTTTGCATGGTCTACTCCTTTACTTGAATTCGTAAGATATGAACATTGAGCCTAACACAGGAAACTACTATCCAACTATCTTCTTCAATGAATTTTGGTTACTCCGAGATAAGTTGATACCAATAAATGAGACAGTGAATGAATTGCCCCTGAATCTCGAGGTGGGCCCTATTAGCATGACGAAATGGCAATTATTTCTACAGATTGATCAGTCATTCCAGATTCATCGTAATTATGGAAGCATGCTTGAAGGTGAAGCTGATGAACTAAAGGTATAAATCTGTTCTCTATGTTATGAATTTGTTTCTGAAAGTGTGCACAGTTCAATGGAAGTGGTTATACCTGCTTTTCTCCTAACTACATGCATTATGTAATTCTTTATCCAGATGAAGTGAAATAACTTGAATGTGGATGCAAATCTATTAAACAATGAATACTTGAGTTGACGCCATGTGCATTTTCATTGTGCTTTTGTTGGCAATTATAGATACCTATGCCCTATATTCAGGCATGGCTGGCCTTCTTTTGGAGTTTGGAGAATTTGTACATCTATGAGGATATAATACTTTTTTGAAGATGTAGTTATATGCTTCTGTCTTACAATTTTTATTTGAGTGATTCCAATAGAAACATTTCAAATGAATTGTTACTGATTTAATCTGTTTCACAGAGAGTTTTTCTGGAAGGAAATCCTTACCTTCTTGCCGTGACCATGGTTGTTTCAATACTTCACTCTATATTTGACTTCTTGGCTTTCAAGAATGGTACGGGATGATTACTGTTTCATATATTCCTGATAAACAACTGGCTTTTGAACAATCACTTATAGCATTTTTATACTCTGCAGATATTCAATTTTGGAATAAAAACAAGTCCATGGAGGGATTATCAGCAAAATCTGTGGTTGTGAATTTCTTTTGCCAACTAATTGTCTTCCTTTATTTGCTTGACAATGAAACTTCATGGATGATACTTGCAAGCTCTGGCATTGGCTGCTGCATAGAGTTCTGGAAAATTGGAAAAGCGATGCATGTTGAGGTAATTATGAAAGTTATCCGAAAGCCCTAATGAAAGTTATCGATGCTGAAATTATAAATATATATATATATATACACATATACTGTATGTAACTTTTAATCACTGATACATTAGTGGAACATCATCTTAAATATTCGCTTCTTCTAGATTGACAGATCTGGTAAGATACCAATGTTGAGATTCCGTGACCGGGAGTCATATGCAAAAAACAAGACAAAGGAGTATGATGATCTAGCCATGAAATACTTGTCATATGTTCTCTTCTTTCTTACCGCTTGTTTCTCTATATACTCTCTGAAATACGAAAGGCACAAAAGCTGGTATTCGTGGATCCTTTCGTCCCTTACAAGCTGTGTCTACATGTTTGGTTAGCATCCCTCCTTCATATCTTTTTTGCCTGCATGTTTTCCATTTTGGCTTAGATCAATATCACATATTATGCACTTCGTTTCCAATGACATTATTTTTTTTAGCAGTTACTGCTGATTTTCATGTGTTTTTTCTTTTTTTTTTTTTTAAAAAAAAATATGTTAATTATTGCTATGTAATATGCTAAATCCTTATATATGAAATGTTTACTTGATAATTTCACAACTCTTTTTTGTCATATACTGATTTGCTAATGTAATTATACAACATGCTGAATGCTTGTATATGAGATGCTGACATAATACATACAATATGTGTTTACTGTTAGTTTGTTATTATACTTGTACTGTTTTCTTCAATCATATATGCTGAGCACAAATATGTTGTATATTGCTTGCGTAGTGGGTATATGCTGATCAATAATTTAATTATGTTATTCAGTAGTTTACTTTTTTATTGAGTTATTGCTCATGTGCTGTTCTATGGTATTGAATATGCTGTGTGTATGTATCAAATAGGCAATTTTTTTGTAATACTAATATTCCGTTCTTGAGTATTCACTTATTCATAGGCTGACTGTACTTATGGATATGTGAATATATGCTACATTAAATGATGAATTTACTCGGAACGGTGCTCCCTTTTAATGAAATTTGTTCTCGGCTAGCTATATGTATCTCAAATCTGTGCTAGGGTTGAAATCTATTCCAATATACTAGCTGCAAATTGATTTCCATGATGTATTTGATGGCATTTCTGGATTTCCCCTACTATAAAATTGAGTACTTGGCATCCTAGGTGTTTAAATCTCTTGGGAATGAAGTAGGTGGTTGGTCTGCTGCGCAACTCTCTAACGAATATCATAGTTAAAGGAGCTTTAATCAATAGACTGACTGAACTTGTGTTTTCTTGGGAATAATCATGAGTGATGTAAAGCTAAAACTATTTGCTGTTTAGCTCAACATGATGTTTACATTATGTCATAATAACCATATTATTCCATTTTCGTTCTTTGCTGCAGGTTTTGTCATGATGTGCCCTCAGTTGTTTATCAATTATAAGCTGAAGTCTGTTGCCCATTTACCTTGGAGGCAGATGACATATAAATTCCTGAACACAATCATCGATGACCTCTTTGCATTTGTTATAAAGATGCCCATACTGCACCGGCTTTCTGTCTTCCGTGATGGTGAGATTTTGTTTAAACTATGAAATTACTGTGCTTAATTTAAGCAAGCCTGCCTAGTCTGCTGAACAAACTACTGTTGGCACTCTAGCTAGTAGCTGCAATATCTTGTGGGCATAACATTGAATTTTTGATGGGCAACGCAGATGTTATATTTTTGATATATCTGTACCAAAGATGGATCTATCCTGTGGACAAGAAAAGGGTGAACGAGTTTGGTTTTGGAGGGGAGGACGAGCAGCAGCCTGAAGGCACAATCACAGATGGTGCTGCCACAGAAGAAGAAGAAGAGCAGGAGGGTGATAAGAAAACTAACTGAGCTGAGGTGAACTGAACTCAACTCAACTCAATTTTTCTGTGTTAAGTTAATTGCATTGCAGGTCACGGTGTTTAGTTTTTTTTTTTATTATAGAGTATGGTAGCGCCTTCCAGCTTACTTGGTTGTTATCATACGTGTGGTTGCACAACTTTATTTGCTTGTTGCATTTTAATTAGGGAATATAAAGATATTATTATATTTGAAAAATGTATTGCATCATCTTTGTTATATGATTTGTTATGGTTTTGGGGAATGGAATTCTCTACCCGTACCCCTACCTACACCCACATACATAGGCTATATATATATATTGAGAGAGAGAGAGAGAGAGAGAGGGGGGGGTGTCAAAAGTAAACCCGACCCGAAAAATCGAACCCGTTCGATTTGAAATTTTTCAGGTTCGGGTTTGAGTATTTCGAGTTTGAAAAAAATCGAGTCAGACTCGAAACGAAAAAAATTGATATCGTGTTCGGGTAGTGTTTTGGGTTGACATAATAATCCAAAATATAAAATCAAGTTAGGTTTTGGGTTTTGTATTTCGGTTGACTTGAAATTTTTATTATTATTATTTTAATTTATAATAGTTATATTATTTTATATTTAAAATAATATAAAAATAAAAATAAAAATGATTTTTTTTAGGTTAATTTAATTATTTTTAAGTTTTCGAGTTTGTTTCGTGTCGGGTTTCGGGTGACCTGAAACTATTTCAGGTCAACTTGAACCCGACTTGAAAGAATTCATGTCGTATTCGGGTCTAGGGTTTCAAGTCAAATTTTGGGTTCAAATTGACAGTTTTTTTTGTTATCCTCGTGGTTCAATTCGACACTAATACGACCCAAAAACACGAATTGATACCCTTTTATATATATATAGTATATAGTACAAGTTTTGTACTGTATGTATAGGCTATACCAAGAAAAAGAAAAAAAAAATGTCCTATGTATGTGGGGACTGCGTCTTGGTGGGTGCCGAGGAGTGCTTGTGTTTTTCCATTCATCCATATGTCTTGGTGTGTTTGTTTGGGGGTTTGGATTTTGGATTGGGATTTGAATAGTAAAAATTTTGAATTTGAATAGTTGTATGATGTGGTATAAATAGGTGTTGATGTAAAGTTTTGAATGTAAAATTGATTTTTAGTATAATATAAAAAATAAAAAATAGGTGTTTGATTTGATGTTTTTTTTGGGAAAAAAATAGGATGAACAGTGGAAATCCAAACAAATCCTCGAACAAACACAAGTATCCATTCAGTTACCAAATACTATAGTATGAATTAGAGCGGGTATCTTGTTGTGTGTGGAAAGCATATGTTCGAGCGAGGGAGTTGAGGTCGCTAGTGTTGTGTTGTTTCATGGATTTTTCAGAATTTTGTACTATTCAATTTCATTTTTTTTTTACTCTTAAATACTCCAAGGGTGTTTGAGATAGATAAGAACATAATACATATATATATTACATGATGTTTATGACATAGTGAGTATATATCAATTTAAATTTTTATTTTTTTATTTTTTCTTTAATAGTTACTAAGGTAAGATATTGATTTCAACCTCTCAAATAAAGAACTGTTACAAATAATAAAAATTTATATTATATTAAAATGTTATTTTATATATAAAAGTCTATGTTAATATTTATTTATATCATATCAAATATTTTTTTTTTAAATTCAGAATCTATAGATTAAATATTCAAACTCTATTATCCTTTTAGTCCATTTAAATTTTTTTCAATTTTTATTTTAGTATGTCATTCAAATATTTTTTTTAGTAAAATAAAACCTCATATAAATGTAAAAATATCTCTATTTTATCATCAAATCATTATTTTTTACACTAAAATATATGGATAAAATTATTTTTACATACATAATTTGTATTACAATTCATAAAATACTAATATACTTAAATTCAAATGTCAAAAGTAAATAAAAAAATTATTAGTGCAAGGACGAATAATTATTAATTTTGTAAAAAATAAAATAAAGATTATTGCTTCTTGGAAGGTTGATAGCTATGTCTTGAGTACGTGGTTCTTCGCTCCAAGAATTCGAATAGGGTTTTGTACCGATCCTTTGGAAAGATGGGCCCTGGAGCCTGGGATCCGGCTGACGTCTCTCTTCTTTCTTTTTGATTTTGTGGGTATTCTCCTTAATAGACGAAATATTCCTATTATGTCAATGTCAATTGAATCAAAGCCTAGCGCTTCCCTCATTCTAGTTAGTGACCCTTACTATCTGTAGAAAGACCTAAGGTGTGAATCTACCGATCGATCCTTGGAAGAGAGCCGTTTCCCCGAATTAGCTTGCTTTTTGCCGACCCCCTGGATGCCGAAGGCGCCCTTGGGGTGATCTCGTAGTTCCTACGAGGTTAAAATCCTATTCAACCTAATATAATAACCCATGAAGTAAATTAAAATGGATTATCAATTTATGATTCTAATTGGGAATTCTAATTTTGAAAATAAGAACTTCATCTTGAATTTTCTACAAAAGCATTGGGTCATTCATTATGGATTCTTTAATGTAATCACTCTTAGATATAATAAGGTGTGTTTGACATTTAGTTGATAATTTTAACTTTTAGTTGGTTCAATTAGATAATTTTTTATATTAATTGTTTATATTTGTATGTTATTTTTTTAAATATTCAATTTCGTTCTTTTTAATTTAAAATTTTAAAATATGTTTGTTATAATTATTAAAAATTATAAAAGTATTATAAAATATTTATTTTTGTTTTTCAGATTTGAGAAATATTTTTATTTAAAAACAATGATAATATTTTTTTGTATTTAAATGGTGTAAAATATAAAATAATTTTGCATATATATATTTTTATTATGTAACTGTTGACTATTAATTTATTCTATTTTATTTCTTTTTAATTTAAAATTGTGTAAAATATAAAATAATGTCTTATATATATTTTTATTATGTAATTGTTGACTATTAATGTATTCTATTTTATTTATTTTTAATATAAAATTTATATTAAAAAAAATATAAATAAATTAATAATATTTGTGTTTTTTTATTTAATTTAATTTTAATAGATTTATATATTTTATAAATAAAAATAATTCATATATAATGATTAATAACAGTGATTATATTAAATTTTTAAAAAATAAAATTATAATTTAGTAAATAAAATAATAAATAAATACTGCATTATTATTTATAAATTTAAAAAATTATAAATATATATAAAATAAAATAGAGATAAATTAGCGTAGCAGGTATGGTTGTATAGTTGAAGATAAAAAGGATTAATTGAAACGATGAACCGCGCGACGGCAATCAAGCTAACACAAACAGACAGAGAGACAGACGGCACCGCAGTCATTCATCCCATCCTTCCAGAATGGCGGAGTTGGAGTCAGTGAGGAAGTCTGTGGAGAAGACATGCGAACCGCACGAATTCACCGTCGATTCCATGCCTACAAGATTTATAGAGCCTGTTGTGATGCAGGGCCTCAAAGTCCATCGCGTCCAACGCGGCCTAATCCTCTGCTCTTTCACCGTCCCCCCTCGCCTCCTGGTCCATCAAGCCCTAATTTTATTTATTTATTTATTTTTAAGAAAAACACAATTCAATTCAATTCTTGTTTACTAATGTTGGTTGTTGTGGTCGGATGAAGAATACCGGGAACACGTTGCACGGCGGAGCAACGGCGACGCTTGTGGATATTTTAGGATCTGCTGTTATCTACACGATGGGGTCTCTGGCTACGGGTGTCTCGGTTGAGATCAGCGTCTCGTATTTGGATGCTGCTCATCTTGGTGTTAGTTGATATAATCTCCCTCTCCGCTTCCTCTTAATAAATAAATAAATATGCTTTTGTTTTCTGTATGTATGTTAGTAAATCAGCTGCTAATTGGACTGGGGTTTCCTTGCCTTCTTAATCAAATTTAAAACTCAGCTAGCTAACTGCTCCATATTAGGTTTACATACTTTCGTAGCTAGTTCAAGTTTGATTATTTACCTCAAATTGCAATTGCTTGTGGTGATTGATATATATATATATATATATATAAAGTTGAGTTGCATACCAGTCCAATAGGGGAAGTAATCTAATCTCTCAAATGATTGAATTGGTTTGATAAAGCATTTGCATTTGTAAATGGTGATGGAAATATATGTTGGAAAATATTGAACGATAATGAAAAAGTGAGAAGGAAGTCGAGTCGAGAAAGACCTTTTTTGCATAGCGAAATATGACCGGTAGTGCTACGTTGTATCCTATTATTTCCAAGAGGCTAGACAAACATAGAGATAGTAGGATAGTCGGCTGATAGAGGAGAGGAAAATCATGGGATTAGAGTATGTAGGCTTATGTTTGTGTATTCTTTAAGGTTAATGGTCAAGCTTGTTTATAGAATTTCCAAACAACTTTGGAGATTCTCTATTGATATGGTATAACAACCATATCAAGAATTATATCTAGCAGGATATGATATTAAGATATGATGTCATACATTAGATATGGAAATCAATTCTAAGATATGACTTATTCATTTAGTATAAATAGAGTTTTTTTCGGACTTTTCTATCTGACTCGTTAGCTCATCGATCCGACGCTCAATCCGAGTCTGCAACTCGCTTCGGCACATAATTATTTGATGTAGATAATTATATCATCTCTTTTATTTTTTACTCACAATAATTCATTTATGAGAATAGGTTAGACGGTTAATCATTATTTCATTTTTGAATTCTCAAAACGAGAATTTTTACAATCCTCCACATGAAAGAAAATAGCTAATGCTTAGGTTGTAAGGAAACGACTCTAAATAAGATATTATTGTATAGGGCAAAGATAGCTTTTGTCTTTAAATTTTTCTTTTTCGATATCATCATGTATACTGGCAGCTAGTGCACTTCATCTTGAACTATTCCGCTATAGCGTACACCTAGACAATGTTTTTCGAAACGGTAACACCTCACATCTTGTTTGTTCTCACGTTTGTTTCCGTTTCGGGCCATGGAAACACATGCTTCACTTAAAGCGGCCTCCTTGACACTTGCATAGGTGACGTCCGGAGAGCATCATGTTGTACTCTATCAATGATCTGTAAGGAGTCGTTAAAAACTCAACTCTTATCCTTCACCATTGATAGGAATATTAAAACTCGTTGCTCGCTCCTTTCTTTCTAGAGGAATTCTGGAAAATACGTTGCTCGGTTCTTCTTATTAAACCAAATTTGTGGAATCTCCACTCATTATAGTTGGGTGTCCACTATAGTCGTTCTTAAGTGTAGTTTTTCAAACGCATTCTTCTGAGCATCTTCAGAATTTAATTTCGGTCCAACTCCTTTGTTAGCGGATTCACTAGGTTATCCTTAGACTTCACATAGTCTAACGAGGTTATCCTTCATGAGATAAATTTTTGCACGGTATTAGCCGACGACGGGTGTCTCGGGACTTACCGTTGTACATCAAATTATGTACCCTTCTAATTGCTGCAAGACTGTCACAATGTATTGCTGTAGGCACATGTTTTTTCCAACATAGAATCTCCAGTAGTAGTTGTCGAAACCATTTGGTTTCCTCTCCTAACTTGTCCAAGGCGATAAACTTGGATTCTATAGAGGATTGAGCTATATGCGTCTTCTTAGTTGATTACCATGACACAACACCCATTTGACTGTGAATACATATAACTCGTAGAAAATGAGTTGCTTCGATCCGATATCCAATCGACATCAAAATATTCTTGAAGCATTGGAGGATATTTCGAATAATATAGTCCAAGGTTTTGAGTATAGTTTAGATACCCCAAAACCCTTACAATAGTTTTCAAATGATCATTACTCAGATTGTTAATGTATCAACTCAGTTTGCTTACTGAGTATGCAAGATTAGGGCGAGTATATAAAACTCCCAATTATGCTTACGTATTCCGCTTAAGCTACAAGATCTACTTAATTTTTGCTCAACTTCACGCATGGGTCAAGCGGGGTTTTTCGATATTGACCCATCATTGACGCCAAACTTAGTCGGTATTTTCGACACATAATGGGATTGTGTCAGGACGATTCTTTTTAGGTGTCTGATTATCTTGATACCGAGGATCACATCGGCTAACCCTAGATCTTTCGTGACGAAATTTTCTTTCAACATATGTTTTGTCCAAACAATGAGTCTTTGATCGTTTTTCCATGATTAACATATCGTTTACGTCGAGGCAGACCAACACAAAGCTGTTGAAATCCCCTTTGTAGTAAACACATTTATAACACTCATTGTATTTGAATCCATTCGACAACATGGTACTGTTGAATTTCAAGTACCTTGCTTCGGCTCTTGCTAAGTCCATATAGGGACTTGATCAATTTTATATCTTATCCCCCTAGGTACTACAAATCTTTTGGGTTGTTCCGTAAAGATCTCTAGATTGTGCAAGACAACAATCGCGAGAAACACCCTAATTGAGCTGATTCTAAAAATGGGAGAATGTGTCAAAAAAGTTAATCTCTCTTTGAGCAAAACCCTTGACAACCAATTGGGCTTTACAATTCTTGACCGAGCCATCGGTCTTGTATTTTCCTTTTAGGACATACTTGCATCATAGGGGCTTGCAACCATTTGGAAGATTGGTCAAGATTCAAGTGCAATTTCGCATCATTTATTACTCCTTGCCAGAGTTCAACATCTGGTCCTGACAATGTTTTTTCATTGTCCTTGGCTCATCATTCAATAAATAAGTGATGTAATCCAGACTGAAGTCCTTGGATATTTTCATCATTTGTCTTTTGATAGTCATATCTCGTGTTCTCTTCCAAGAACAATTAGGACTGTGGTCCTTATTTTTATAAAAGGTTACATCTTCGAAGAAAGTGGCATTCCTTGATTCCATTATCGTCTTTTCATTTATGTAAGAGATTTCTGGCTTGTGAACAAGAAAACGATACACGCTACTGTTAAAGGCGTAGCCTATGAATACATAGTCAACAACTGTTTATCGATGGTGACTTTCTTTAGCAAAGTTACTTCAACCTTAGTTAGACACCCTCCACACTTTGGGATATTTGTAAGAAACCTCATAGTCATTCCACAACTAGCAACGTAGAAACGATCCAAATCCTTACCATTTAGGAGAATTTTTATTAACATCATTTTAACTTATCGTCGATGCAGATCCCCCTCGCATGCCTTAAGGCATTTGTTGGGAAGCCTACTGTCTTTCCACAACTCGTAAAGAATTACATCATTTCCTTTAGGGAAAATTATAACTTTACCGTTAACATAACTTCCCCCACATATCGTGGAATAATTCAGTACTCATAAGTAAATCATTCATCATGTTCTTCCATGTCAAGTCTTTTCCGCTCATGAGTTTGAGAACTACGTTTCTGGTTTCGGAAACCTTGGGTGTTTTTGTTTTGTTGTTATCAGCCTTGGTCAGACTCTCCTCTTTTTTGAGAAGTTGTCTCACTCCACTATGTTGTCCTTATCATCAAAAACCTTTGATTCTGAACTTTCATTTTGATTGTCCTCTTCAATGCGGAGTTTGACAACCAAATCCTCAAATAACATAGTCTTTTACTTAAGTTTTGAGGTACTTTTTAAAGTTTCCATGACGGAGGCAATATTTCAATAACTGCTCCCATATTAAATGTATTGGGACCAACATCCTTTTGGTTTGGACATCATGTACCAACAGTTGAAATTTTTGTACTTTTTTCACAACCGAGGATCCGTCCACCATATGGTACGATAAGTTCCTTGATACGGTGTACCTTTCGGTATCTGCATCCTCAATTTTATTCTCTCTATTTAGTATTCTTTACATATTGATCTACAGGGAATTCAAACCCAAAAGAAACTTTTCTGTCACCATTAAACGCATATCTTCTCCAAGAAAACCATTTTGCGTGTATCTCACCGAGGATTCACAAATAGAGAGCAACAATGAACAACTTTCATTGATCATTCTGCATCTGACGATTTACTATAGCTACCAAAATTTCATAAGACTAACAAAATAACCCATAAGATATCTCAAGAAAGCAATAAAGAAACTAACAAATATTTTCAAGAAATACAACAAGAAACTTCAAGGATATTACGATCAATTCCAAAAAAAATATCTAATTACCAAGGAAGAATATATAGCCTATCAACTCAGAATTTTTCAGCATATTATCAACAATTTCAAAAGAAAGATATACAAAAAATTCCAAGAGAGAAGAGTTTAGCCTTTTATCCAAGGATCGAGTCTTACAAAATTTGTACCATAAATTTCTTTCAATTTTGCAATGGGTTAACCTCCCAGGCTTTGACAATAGTGTTACATTTTCATTCCAGGATTGGATTTTTTGAACCATATCTCGTAAATACAAAATTATAGGAGTTAACAAATGAAAGAAACATCGAATAAAACCCAAGTTAATTATATCAAATCGAATCTGAAAAATATATTTAATCTAGAGGCTAAAAAGTAAAATTAAGAAAACAAACAAGCAATTCTAAAAGAAAGTAAGACACAACACTTTTGTTCGTGTTTATTTTCAACCGAGAGAGAAATTAAGTCGTTCAACCAATTTTAGACCAAATCTGCTAGTGACAAAGAGCAAAAACAAACAACCAAATTCTGTAATTTTTTGTTGGAGGTACATATGCCTGATTGGAAGAAGTCGTGAATGCTTTCTAAAAATCTCAACTTGATCCAATGGTAAACGAAGCCGGAATCATCGTTTTTCCAAAACTAGAGAGTCTTTGATGAAATTCTCTCATTTTCTCTTTATAGTTTGTGGGGGTGGCGCCAATGGTGGCGACGGGTCCGGTGGCACTGGAGGTGGTGGCATTCCCGGTGACAACTACGTTCAGCAAGGTAGACAAAGCTTTTGCGATGTCATTAATAGATTGAAGTTGATTTTCTCCGCATCATCAGGATTCATTATCACCGTTATTTCTCTCTCCGATTATTGGAAAATATAGGATTATAATGAGAAAGCGGGAAGGAAGCCGAGTCAAAGAAGACATTTTCCCACAGAGCGAAATACGGTTGGTAGTGCTCCAATCTATCATTATTACTTCCAAAAATAAAATGACTTATATTCTTTTGAAACAACACAATTAACAAGAAACCTGATGAAGAGAGAGAGTAAGATAGTCGGCCGAAGGAGAAGAGAACCGAGAATCTTGAGATAAGATTATGTAGGCTTAAGGTTAATGGTCAAACCTATTTATAGACTTTCCACGTAATAAATTTTGGGAATTCTCTCTTGATATGGTATAACAACCCTATCAAGAATCATATCTCACTAGATTTGATCTCAAACTTTAGAATGAAAATCAATTCTACAATATAAATTATCCATTTAATATGCATAGAGTTTTTTTGGACTTCTTTATCTGACCCGTGAGTTTACTGACTTAGTCCGACTCTTGATCTGAGTTTGCAACTTGGTTTGACACGTAATTGTGTGAAGTACATAATCATATCATCTCATCTATTTTTTACTCACCATAATTCGATTTTGAAACTAGGCTAACTGTTAATCATTATGTGTTTTTTTGAATTCTCAAAACAAGAATTTTTACCATGTATATATATATATATAGCTATGCAAGCAACTTGAAACCAATCAGACTTTAAATATTGTTTACAACCAAACCAAAGTAAATTATGGCCTCTCTCTCTCTCTATATATATATGCCAGGTCAATGTATATTATATTATTTTGCAACAATTGTAATTCAGATGTTCTTGTTAGATGCATAATAGCTTGTGCAAGATATAAAACACAATATTATAATATGCCGTCTGAGTGCTTCGATGACATTGTACCTTTTCGTTTTGCATTCTCCTTGACTGTTTGGGGGGAATATCTGTTTGGCCACTGGGTTCTGGTTGAATCCTAGAAATAGGAAGAACAAACAGCTAGCAGAGAGAGATATAATTCAGTCAGCCAGACAGTCTTGTATGAATGACTCTAGCTTGTGTGTTGTATGCTGCAAATGCAAATGCAAATATTATTGGGTACTTGCTTACTTACTGTGGGCTCTCATGTGAATCAGCTTCAATGGTTGTTATTGGTTTGCAACACTGAATAGTAACTGTATTATTATTATTATTATTATTATTATTATTATTATTATTATTATTATTATTATTATTATTATTATTATTCACTTGTGGCTTTACTTTGTTGTTATTGGTTGTATAGGAGGAAATTGAGATAGAGAGCAAGGCGTTGCGCGTTGGAAGGGCTATTGCAGTTGCTAGCGTTGAACTGAGAAGCATCAAGACTGGAAAGATTATTGCTCAGGGGCGCCATACTAAGTACCTTACGCTCCAGAGCAAGATGTGAACCAAGTAAAGTAATTAAGTAGGGGGGATGGGGGGATCATATTGGGATCATCATGTGCAGGAGTGAGTAGGGTTGGTTGGTTGGTTTACTAGTGTCTCATGTTTGCATTGAGAAATGGTAATTGAAGGCATTATTATTATTATTATTATTATTATTATGATCTTTATTGATGTTGTGCTGTGCTTACATCCTTTGGAAACTACATATTCTATGATGGCTAGCTAGGCATTTCTTGCTAGAGTAGGGTTGGTTGGGGCCATTGGAAGAATTAAGATAATGAAGTGTGTCAAGTGAAGGGAGGAAGAAGGTACCTTAATAAATCAATGCAATTGGTGTTTATCTGGGCGTAATTATATAATTCAAAATTAAAGTTCTTGTATATGGTAAGGTGGGTTACATGAAGAAGTTCCATAGGCTCTAAACCATCTGGTTTTGTTTGGTTTGGTTGCTTTTCTTTGATTTGCATTGCATGCTGACATTTATCACCTGTTCACATAAGACAATAAATAAGGAATTGCTCCACTTTAGAGCAAACATAATTACTTAAATATAGATGCTTAGCCATTTCAAGTGAATATTCTTTTGACGGACGAAGGTGGGGCTAGTCCAGGTGAGTCCACGTCTAAGCCATTAGAGCTGCTGGATTTTTTTTTTGAGGCAATTGTATATTTAATTTGTTTGCAAAGGTTTGAATATGGATAGCTACGCCAATAAATGTTTTCGTTTTTTTTTTTTTTATTTTTTTTTTCATAAAAATATTTTTATTTAAGAAACCATTATACATGCTCTTAGCAATTACAAATAAAAAATACCTTTGCACACATGAAATGAGTTTTCTCCTGCTAGAGTCGGATTGGCTCAAATTGAATGGAATTTTTAATTTTGGTCGGTTTTTAATTTGTAAAATTGAAATCGAAACCAAAATCGAATTGAACCGTGTTCGGTTCAGTCCGGTCGGTTCGGTTTGGTCTATTAATATATATATATATATATATAAATATTCATATGTTGTAAATATTAATATAGGAATAAAAAATAAGAATATTAATTATTCCTATTGTTAATCACTATTTGTATATATATATATTATATGTGTATATAGTGTGCTAAGTATATAATACCCTCTTCGTCCTATAACAAACTATTCATTTTTTCATTTTGGCCCGTCCCATAACAAAGTATCAATTTCCTTTTTTAGTAACTATACTATCTATCTAACATTACAAATACCTTTACAACTTACAATATATTACACAAATGTCATTACTTTTATATTACACAATATTAATATGGTTATTTTAGTCATTTTTACTTTATTCCTACTACATACCAATATAATACTAATATTTCTAAAACTCCGTACAAAAAACAAACGGATACATAGTTATGAGACGAATGGAGTATATTTATATATATATTGCATTAGCTTGGAGTATATATATATATATATATATATGGGTAGATATTGATATATATAACTGTGTGCATATAATATATATGTATATTAGAGCAGTTAATGCAAGTACAGAGAGATGGTGTTAAACCAAATGGGAGAGAATTTATGGATTTTTTATTCAGATGTGTATTCTCAAAATGACTTGACATAACTATTTATAGGAAGGGGTAATGACGGGGTGTGGTCAATATTGCACCACAAAAATTATACATATCACCTACGTAGGAACTATATAATTGACATCGACAAGCATCCACGTAGTTCATTTGTAGGAATTGTGTATTACAATACTCCCACTTGGATGCTTTAAACAAAGAATGTGACTCGTTAAAACCTTACTATGAAAAAATCATGCGGAAAGAAATCATAGTGAAGAAAAAAGAGTAAACCACTCTTGTATTGATTTGCTCCCCTGATTTGGACTTTACTTAAGATTTTTAAGCCGACGCATTCCAATTCCTTTTACAAATTTGTTGAATGTTGTTTTCGGTAGAGCCTTGGTTAATAAATCTACAAAATTGTCAGATGATCGGATTTGTTGCACTAAGATATGATACTTGATGACCAAGTATCCCAACGTCATCTTCTTTTGGTCTAAATGGATCCTAGTTAGGATCAAGTGACTTGATAATCATTGGGGTACTCAATGAATGTGTTTTATCCATATAAAATCACTTAAATACCTTCAGGGTATAAGCGGTTTGGTGGATGAATATTCTATTATCCACACATTCAATTTGCAGACCAAGGCTAAACTTTGTCTTTCCAACGTCTTTGATCTCAAATTCCCTTTTTAGATATTCCCTGGCTGATTGGAGCTTTTCAGGAGTTCCAATAATATTGAGATCATCGACGTATACTGCAATTATTACGAATTTTGACCTATTTTTCTTTATGAAAACACATGGACATATTGGGCCGTTAGTGTAACCTTCTTTGGTTAAACACTCAGTGAGACGGTTATACCACATGCGTCCAGACTGTTTAAGTCCATACAAATACTGTTGTACTTTGATGGAATAACATTCTCTGGGATTTGATTTGCATGCTTCAGACATGTTATATCATTAAGGAATTTTCATGTAAATATCATTCTCCAGTAAGCCATACAAGTAAGCAGTGACTATGTCCACAAAGCATATATCAAGCTTTTCATGCATTGCTAGGCTTACGAGGTATCTAAATGTGATACCATCCATAACTGGGGAATATGTCTCATCATAATCAATTTCAGGCCTTTGTGAGAATCCTTGAGCTACAAGCTTTGCTTTGTACCTGACATTGTCTTCATTTCTTTTTCTCACAAATAACAATTTGCACCCAACTGGCTTAACACCTTCTAGTGTTTGAATTATAGATCAAAAGACATTTCTTTTGGTAAGTGAGTCTAGTTCAAACTGAATCAGATCTTTCCATTTTGGCCAATTATTTCTTTTTCGACATTCATTAACTAATGTTGGTTCGGGATCATCGTCATTTTCCATTATATCAAGTGTCACGTTATATGTAAATGCATTATTGATGATTATTTCATTGCGGTTCCAACTTTTATTTGTACCGATGAAGTTAATTGAATTCTCGATAACTTCATTTTCTTATGAGGTAGGCTCTTTAGGAGCATCATCTTCAAGGATTTGTTCCTTGTCACTATAAATTATTTGAGGGATTGAATCATTAATCAATACATTTTTCTTTCGGGAATTCTTATCCTTGGAACCTACAGGTCTGCCATGCTTCAGATGCGTAGAAGATTCATTGGCACTTTTCATTTGCCCTTCTAGGATATTTAATTTTGCTGGAGCATTTGTTGCAGGAATATATGACCTGGTGACTATGCTGGAGTCATTAAATGCATCCGGTAACTGATTTGCAATTTGTTGCAAATGTACAATTCGTTGTACTTCTCACACTGTTGTGAACGAGGATCCAGGAAATCCATAGGTTTTTTTCCAAGAAATTTCTTTTTTTAGTTGATTTTGTTCTCCCCATAATGTTAGGAATTTTGTTTTGTTAAAATGAAAGTCTGCGAATTGCGCAGTAAATAGATCACCCGTCAGTCGTTCGAGATATTTAATTATTGATGGTGATTCATACCTGACATAGATTCCCAAACGACGTTGGGGACCCATTTTTATACGTTGAGGTGGTGCAATCGGCACATAAACCGCGCATCCAAAAATTCTCAAATGAGATATATTTGGCTCTTTTCCAAACACTAATTGTGTTGGGGAGTATTTCTGATAATTTGTTGGTCTAATTCGCACAAGTTCTGCTGCATGTAATATTGCATGTCCCTAGGTAGAAACGGAGAGTTTATATTTCATCAATAATGGTCTAGAAATTAATTGTAGTATTTTTATAAAGGATTATACCAGACTATTTTGGGTGTAAATATAAGGAACATGGTGTTCAACAGTTATTCCCAAAGGCATGCAATAATCGGCACATACTTGTGATGAATATTCACTAGCATTATCGAGATTAATTTTCTTTATTGGATAATCAAAAAATTGTGATCACAATTTAATTATCTGTGCAAGTAACCTTGCAAATGTTCTATTACGCGTAGATATCAAGCATCGTGTGACCATCTTATTGATGCATCAATGAGCACCGTGAAATATTTAAATGGCTCACATGGTGGATCTACAGGTCCACATATACCACCCTGGATTCTTTCCAGAAATGATGAAGATTCAGTCCTAAATTTGGTTGGTGATGACCTAATTATTAATTTGCCTTGTGAGCGTGCAACACACGCGAATTCATTCGAATTCAAGATCTTTCGATCTTTCAATGAATGGCCAATGGAGTTTTCGATTATTTGCCTCATTATAGTGTTTCCAAGATGCCTGAGACGATCGTGCCAAATCAGAAATTCATTTAATTGCGTCAACTTCAGGTCTACTGCATATGTTTCAAGTGCACTTATTTTGGCATAATACAAGCCAGAGGACAATGAGGGCAATTTCAAAATTGCACACTTTTGTCCATTAATGGTTTTTGTAATCACGAAATACTCATTATTTTCCTTGTTCATTGTTTCAATATAATATCCGTATCTACGAATATCAGTGAAACTTAGCAAATTTCTTCGAGCTTTACTTGAGAACAATGCATTTTGTATTTCAAGTCTGATTCTTTCAAGGAAACAGATAAGAGCTCTTCCGGAGTCTTCAATTGTCGTACTGCCACTTATTGTGCTGACTTTTGATTTTCCCAACTTCAGGTGGGAGAAATATTTTTTGTATATCAATATTGTGTGCCTGGTCGCAGTATCAATTAAGCAAATATTGTCATCTTTATAATGTGTATTTTGACATGTGGCATCCATATTCTTTTCAGAATAAAACAAATAAAAAGACAATGTATTAATATAGCTGATGGAATACAAAATGATACAAAAAGAGAGGTATTACAAAAAGTAGAGGGGGGTACAAAAAATAATAAAGCAGTAAAATACATAGTCACTTGGCACCTTCAGGGTGCTCAAGGAAGTCTGATGTATCAAGATGCATAAGATCGTCACTACAAGAAAATATCATTTTTGTAACGAGATTTTTTCGTCATTAAATTCACTTTTTCCGTTACTAATGATATTAGAGACGGAATTAATGATGGAATCACGTTAGCTACGTGATCTTTAGCGACGGAATTCCGTTACAAATATACTATTTTTTTGTAGTGCGTTGTTTAGGACATCATCATATGTGTCATCATTATTCTGTTTAGCGAGGTTTACATATCAGATGTGTTCTTCAGGCCATCATCATATACGTTATCATTATTCTGCTCAGAGAGATTTACATCATCAAACATACTTTTCCCTTTCTGCGAAGCCCGGTACAAATAAGCCAAATGCTTAGGCCTTCTGCAGACGCGGGACCAATGTCCCTTTGTGCCGCACTTGTGCCACTTATCTTCATAATTTCTTTTCTACTAGTTATTCAACCACTTCAGGGGCTTGTATAGTTTCTTGCCGTTATTTTGACGAGGCTAGGGACGGTCGTATTTTTGGCCTCTGCCATATCTCTGGCCCTTGTTGTTTCCAGGGCCTGGATTTGCAGACTGTACTGCATTCACTTCAAGGAATGGGCTGGAACCAGTTGGCCTGGATGCATGATTTTTCAACAACAGTTGGTTGTTTTGTTCTGCCAATAAAAGACAACCAATAAGATCTGAATATGTTCTGAAGCCTCTCTCTCGATACTGCTGCTATAAAAGCAAGTTTGAGGCATGGAATGTGGTGAATGCTTTCTCCATCATATCACTGTCATTAACATTCTCGCCGCATAGGTTCAACTTTGAAGTGATCCTGAACATGGAGGAATTATATTCAGTGACTGATTTGAAGTCTTGCAACCTTAAATTAAGCCATTTAGTGCGAGCTTTTGGCAGTACAATCAACTTCAGGTGATCGTATCTTTCTGGTTAGTTTATTCCACAAGTCAAGAAGATTCTTAACTCTGAGATATTCCATTTTTAGTCCTTCAACAATATGATGTCGGAGGAATATCATTGTAACACCCCCAGTTGGCTCATACTGGAAATGCTACCGCCACACTGCATCATGAGGTCGTCACCTCCTACTTCGGGCCCCACAACACAGTGTTAAGGCTAAAATTAATTATATAAGCATTTTATTATTCCCAAAAAAACAAGTTTATAAATATTTACAAAAACATACTCCCAAAACGGGAGGTTTTTCTAGTTAGAATTTACATATAATACATCAGATGCAGTTCACTCATTCAGCCCGTCTTTCTATCTCCCGAGACGTCCCCTGTCCCGGAGGTGCCATGCGTACCTGAATCAAATATTTTTCTTAAAAGCAGTCTAGAATTAAATCCATTTTAAGAACTAACATAAAATATGCCATGTCATGCTCGAAAATAGAGTTTAATTTCCGTCATTTGCAAAATAATTGCCATGCCATGCCCATACTGAAATAATGTAACAATAATGTCAAAATCGACAACTCATGCACGTATACCCATATACATATGTCAAAGTGAGCAGCCGGAATAACCTCGGCTCCATAATAACAGCTCACTAGACTATCATCAATAAATAGCCGGAAAATCCTCGGCTCAAGGAAGGACCTGGTAAACCCATAATAATATAACGGTCACCCGGTCACTCCCATATACCCACCATACGACTCCCGCAATCAATACATGGATAGTCGAACGTTGTCGCCATTAACCACAAGACACCCCATAGTCTGTGATAGCGAAGATAGGACCCTCCTGCCTAGCCCTACCCCGTGTAACGTAGTAGAATCCATGCAACCTGGAATCACCCGAAGGAAACCCGGAAACTCTACTCCTCCTCGCACGCCCTAACGGGATCGCGTTTGGAGTTTGGCATCTGATCCTAAACTACCGGTAGACCTCACTAGTAGCTACTCCAATGAGTGGAACAACACCGAACCCGAATGATTAGACCAAATACGTCTCAACTGCAATGGGTCTAATCCCTGAATGACCGTGCGACTAAGTCACCCAGTTGTCCGACTACTATCGTCCACTATCGCCAAAGTGTTACGGTACATCGGGGTCGAATATCCTAACCCCAGATGATGCCCTCGCCTAGCACTACCGCACACGGCGACTAAACGATAGATCCATAAAACATATCCGATAAATCGTGCAATGTGTGCAGCATGTCAATAAGTGAATTTAATGAAAAGGGCTGGTGAGACGGCCCACCTATCCTCCTTTTTATAAATTCACCAACACGATCAAATACGTATATCAAATATCGTAAAACGAAGTTTCACACATGCATATACACACACATATATACATATATAGATGCACTGACCAAATGATTCCACATAATATCATATCAATATCAGAATCAGAATCACATGCAACATAAATACCTAATTTCTTAAAATTAGATTTAATTCCCTACTGCTTACCTCCTACCGATACTTTCTGGATTTTATAACTTCACCCAAATCTCCTCAAACGTACACCTGTCCCATTATTTACTCAAATCAGATGAGCTTTATGCTTATTCTCAGGAGCTACCTGCTTATTCAAAAGCTAATTTCTATAATTAACTCGTCGGGCTCCAAACTTTTATATTTAGTAGAATATGATATTCTAGCTATAAAATCCTTCTACCTCATAATATTTATATTGCCCGATTATTAAATAAAAATACGCAAAGGTATGAACAAGCAGGCAGGTGCGATATACTGCCGTTTTTTATTCGACTTGGATTGGTACGAAATTCTCAAAATATAATGTCGGCGCTACGAATAGGCTATTAGCTAAAGAAATTCATCGATTAAATAGCTAAATAGCCAATTTTGAATTTTTGAAGAATTTCTAATTTAATACTCCAATATCAAAATTCGTATTAAAATTTATAATCGGACTCTACGAATAGCAAGGAATACCATACCCAAGTCGGAATTGGAATCGGACGGCTAAATCTTTTTCTTTCTTTCTCCTTCTTCTTCCTCCCTTCCTTCTCCTCCTTTGGTTCGTTGCTGCTGCTGCGTTGGATTCTTTCTTTCTTTCATATTATTATTATTATTCTTTCATATCATCTACTATATTATTATTATATATATATTATATTATATATTATATATTATATTTATATTTATATTTATTTTTAATTTTATCGATATTTATCCATTTAACAGTCTATTTAATTATAACTAATATACAAAATTGGAATATAATTTATCCCAAAATATTAGTTTCTTGATTCCATTACTATTGTCAAATATTTATTTGCTATAATAATATTATTTTATATATTCCGAAATCGGGGCATTACAATCATTTTCTTTGCTCGGCTTTGATTGGTGGCATTATTGTCTCTCACAATCGTTTCACCCAGGTTTATCGATTCTGTATGTATTTCAACATCCATAGCCCACGACAGATAATTTTTGCCAGAAATTACAAGTGTGACAAATTCCTATTTTGCAATGTTAGTAGCCATAATAATATTGAAATATACGTACCGTGTCGAAAAAATGGATCGTGCTGATAACGTGTTGAAAATATTAATATAGAAATAACAAATAAGAATATTAATTATCCCTACTGTTAATCACTATTTGTATATATATATTATATGTGTATATAGTGTGTTAAGTATATAATATATTTATATATATATAATGCATTAGCTTGGAGTATATATATATATATGGGTAGATATAGATATATTACTGTGTGTATATAATATGCATATATATATATATTAGAGCAATTAATGCAAGTATAGGGAGATGGAGTTAAACCGAGGGGGAGAGAATTTATGGATTTTTTTTTCCCAATGTGTATTCCCAAAGTGACGACATAGCTATTTATAGGAGGGGGTAATGATGGGGTTTGGTCATTATTGCACCAAAAAAATTATACATATCACCTACATAGCAACTATATAATTGACATCGACAAGCATCCACGCATTTCATTCGTAGGAATTGTGTATTACAATATAATACTCAAAAGACAAATAATCAAAATTATAATATATTATTTATTAATTCTCTCCATCATATAAGAAAAGTATTATTTGTTTTTTACATGTAAATTTTTAAATATTAGTATTATATTAGTTTATATTTAAGTATTAATATTATATTTTTTATAATTAAAAAGATAAAAATATCTCTATTAGTTTTGTGTAATATAAAAATAATAATATTTATATAATACTCTATATTGTAAGTTGTAAAAATATTTATTATGTTAGATAGATAGTACAATTATTAAATTAGGAAATGATATCCTTGTTTTGGGATGGATAAAAATAAAAAATAATACATTTCTTATGGATTTATATATATATTTTTTAATTTCAATTAACCGAAATTAAAAAATTGAAACTCATAACTAAAATTTATAAATTCCATTTTACACAATTAACGGAATAGTCCAAATAAAAAAATAAATAAATTTTTTTCGATGTGTACTCATCTCTGTTTCCTTACTGCCTTCTTGCCGGCGCAGTCATTTTTTGGTCTTTAAATTTTATTATTTTTTATTTATTTGATTTGTATAAACTCCCTGTTGGTATTTTTGTCTTTAATTTAATTTCTAAATATTAAAAGATAAGGAATACTTCTATATCATATATATATATATATGCCCACATAACTATTATATATACCCATAATTTTTCCCGCTATACTTAGCATATTCTAAATATATATCTATGTATACTTGTACCTTTGTATCTTAAAAAAAAAAAAAAAAAAACAGTTACAAACTTACAAACATGATTTGGTAGTGGGGTGAGGAAAAACCAACACTCACACAACTCTCAATCGCAAACAAAATCCCCAATCGTAAATAAAACCCTACCAAACTTTCACAACTCTCATCTGCCGACGATCGTTCTCATTCTCGCTCACCATTTGATGAATTGATAAACATTGCGAATAGGAAGTTGGAAGCGAGCCCATCACCCCGACGCAACACGAAGAAGTAGATTTTCTTTCGTTCTTCCTAAATTTTTTATCTTATTCACAGTATTTTAACTTTAGATTGTGTGTTCGATTGCGGTTTAAACCTCGACCACAATATGGTATGCCTTCGTTCGTCCTCGAGAAAAACTCATTTTCCGAAATATGTGTTTGGACATAGTTGTGTGTTTAGGGTTTAACGATTGACATTTCCAAAAAGTTCTACGGGACGATGAGTTCAATTTGGCTACGATTGTTTAATTGTTGGTTGGTTGTTTTAAGAATATTTATCATATTTAGGGGTCGTAATTTATGTTACAAGTTAAATTGGTTGAGAATAAGTTATGATATTGTTATATACGCACAATTGCATATTTCACACCTAGCATGCTATGTAATATACTTATGGGGTTTTATATATGCACCTAGGTTGTGTTTTGATATGCTCCCTTGTATACTTGGTAAACCTATGAAGTATTTCGAGATGCCCTTATTACGGACTGATATTTATTTTTTCGCAGAATGGAAAGGGGTATAAATTTGTGGTTAGTTGGTTTCCATTCCTCACTTTTATATTGAGGTGGAGAAGCTGAAGAAGGATATGTCAGATTCACATATTAAGGAAATACAGTGGACTTCATTCGGTCGCTTTCTCGATTGTCTGAAAATGACACTCTCGTGCCATCGATTACTGGCTTTGGTCAATAGTTATCATCCGGAAAATATGGCCTTTACTATTGGCACAGACTTGGAGTTGTTTTCTACAGAGGAGTTTTCTTTGGTGCTCGGACTACATTCGAAAGGATACTCGCAATTATACATAATACTTACACATTTGTTATTGATGCTTAAACACGTATTAGTTTTTCATACATTACAATATAATAGAATGGTTGCCCACGAATACTTCCAGTAACAGCATGTGTACCAACTTAACATTCATGCATATACCCCCGCTGATAGAGGAAGTACTCATGATGTGATTCAAGGAAGCTTGTTGCCTCACATGTAATTCAAGTTATAACCATCAATCAACACAAGATTGTAATACCCCCCAAAGCTATTATTACATACCTGTAATATAATTTTATATGTTCCAGTAACGTGTATTACGCCTTGGTTATATGTGGTTTGGAAACAGATCATTCTCGATTCAACATTTTCAATTGATATTGGTAAGTACGGATGAATGAATCAAATCCTTCTCCTGCGATACCCCGAAGTGTATGAAACGGTAACCAACACATGTTTACTATAGTTTGTTAAACAAGTCATGAGTGATTAGGATAAGTTATGTTGATTGTTACTCATATACCACTACTCCTATAGATTGATTGGTTATTTAGACCTATTACCTAGTAATACACACCGTAACACACAAAACAATCTTCGATCCACTAGAGTTGAGAGAGGAAGTACTCTCACCGAGTTTCCACGTTGGACCCCATGTGTGAGATTGATTGAAATAAACTATATTCGAGGATACCTGGTACTACAAATCTAATGCCTGTGAAATCATTATGTATCCTTCCTATATCGAGGTTTATACTTAGATCACATGGTTACATACTGGAATTATAAATGTAGATACCCTAGATAAGATATTATGTACCTACAATAATAAACAAATATACTTCAATTACGATTGCATATGCCCTGGTAACCTATGGCTGGAGAACTGATATTTTCACTTGAAATATTCACTGAATGACGGTAATCATGAATGAGTTCAACCATGATAGTGGTTCCCGCGACACCCCAAAGTGTATGAAAATATAAAAAACACAAATTTAATATTGATGGTTAAACAATTCATAAATAACTAGTTAAGTTGTATGATATATGTATAATCATATTCCAAACTTCACTTGTAAATGGCTAAACAAGTCATAAGTGAGTATGTTCAATTATGTGGGTTGTTAGTGTAAATAACTATTTCCATAAATTGAAAATTGTTAGACCTATTATGTATTAATCCACACCTTTCCATACAAAATAATAATCGGTGAGGGGCATACTTGCATAGTGCATGACTCAGCTAGGTGGGCAAGTGCTCCAGAGCGGGTATGCCATACCCCATAACTGGCATGGTGTACAAAATCCTAGTACTTGTGTACCTCATATAGTCTTGCGTGTAACTGAACAACGTAATCTTATGGCAGGGTCTTCGAACTGCGTACCTTCATAGCTTCACTCTAGTGCCTGTAAGGATTTAGGAACTTGATAGATTCTAAAATAGATTAAGCCTTAATCCTCATATGTATTTTTCTAATGGATGTGACATGATGCAACACAATATGTTTGTGTACTTTATGCCCCACAAAGATCATTACCTATCAAGACCACACTAATATTGTTGGGACAGTAATACGCTACCATTAGACTTGCTTCGAGAGATCAACTAAATACCCCCAGAAAATTCTTGTGCCTCTGTTCATTTCTTTGAAACTTGTGTCATTGAATTATCATACACAAACGATAACTGTCACATACCCGCTGTTCTTGTTCATGTATCATCAAAACATTCAAATTATAACAACAATTTTATACAACTGTGATACAAATCACATGTGCAGTGGACGTGAATTTTTTGTTGAACTTGACGAATCTATCTTATCCCAAGTTAAGTTTGCCGACGATAGCACAGTGCCGGTTATGGGGAAAGGATGCATCCTTATTAAGCTAAGGAATGGAGATCACAGTTTCGTATCGAAGGTCTTCTATGTGCCGGCTATGAAAATTAATCTCCTAAGCATGGGCCAATTGTTGGAAAAAGGATATGAAATGCATTGGAAAGGGCGTTATTTGTCGATTCTCGACATAAAAAGTACACTTATTTTGAAGATCACTTTAACAAAGAATCGTATGTTTCATGTTGATGTTCCTGACGATGTGTATACATGTCTTAATGCAGGTGAAAGATGAGTCTTGGTTATGGCATCTTCCCTTTGGTCATTTGAATTTTCAAAGCTTAAAAATACTTGCTCAAAGGAATATGGTGAAAGGATTGCCAAAGATCGATCATCTCAATCAAGTAAGTGAAGCATGCATTTCAGGAAAACAAAGTAGACGGATTCAAAGCTAAAAATAATTGGCGGACGAATTATATAATAGGCCTTGTTTTCTCCAATGTTTATGGTCCGATGAGTGTTGAATCTCATGGCAACAATATGTACTTCTTGACATTTATTGATGATTTTTCTCGAAAGATTTGGGTTTATTTGCTACCTAAGAAATCTGCAGTGTTCACAAGCTTTATAAAATTTAAAGCTCATGTAGAAAAACAACGTGGTTTTTCTATAAAAAAGTTGCGAACGGATAGTGGTGGTAAATATATTTTTTCCGAGTTCAAGAGTTTTCTCGAGGATTATGGAATCGAGCATCATATAACTCCACCTTACACTGCTCAGCATAATGGAATTGCAAATCGGAAGAATAGAACCATCTTGGATATGTCAAGAAGCATGTTGAAAGCCAAAGGGTTGCTAAATTCTTTTTGGGGAGAAGTTGTGGCTTGTTCGGTGTATTTGTTGAATCGGTCTCCAACGAAAGTTGTTTGTGACTTGACGCTAGTGGAAGCATGGTCCGGAATCAAACGTAAAGTTCAACATTTGAGAGTATTTGGTTTTGTGGTCTATGTACACATTCCGGCGGTCACTCGAACAAAGCTTGATTATCGTGGAGAAAAGGCCATCCTTGTGGGTTATGCGCATGGTGGATACAAAGTTTTTAACTCAACAAAAAATAAAGTCATCATCAGTAGAGATGTCATTTTTGTGGAGGATGAAACATGGAGTTGGAGTTTGCCTCAAGTCACTCAAAGTCGGCCCATTAAATTATTTGAAGGTGCTACTCAAGGTGGAATTCATAGTATGGCTGCAGAAGTTACACAAGTCAATATTTCCAATGAAAAGCCAATACAAGCCAATGCTTCCGATGAAAGGCCAAGGCCTCAGCTACAACTTCTAGTCACACTACGTGACTATGAGGTAACTTCTGATGATATCATTTATAATAATGGAGAAATTGTGCATATGGCTATGTATGCAGATTGCCAACCTGCTTCAGTTGACGATGCAATGAAAAATACCAAATGGGTGAAAGCTATGGAGGAGCAATTGAATTCCATCGAGAAAAATTATATTTGGGAGCTTGTGGATGCTCCATATGGTTGCAAACCCATTGATGTCAAATCGGTTTTTAAAAAGAAGTTGAAGGCAAACGGAGAAGTATAGAGGTATAAAGCGAGGCTTGTGGCGAAAGGCTATGAACAAAGGCCCAGATTCGACTTTCAAAAAGTATTTACGTTTGTAGCTTGAATGGAGACGATAAGGTTGTTGATAGCCTTAGCTGCACAAAATTGTTGGAATATAGATCAAATGGATGTAAAATCCCTATTTTTGCACGGCCAGGATTTCAATCGCATGGAAGTGAGCACGAGGTGTATAAATTGAAGAAGGTCTTGTATGGACTGAAACAAGCCCTGTGAGCATGGAATATCACCAGTAGGAGTGACTTTCTTGTTGGATTTTCCAATAGCGACTGGGGAGGAGATCTTGAGGATCGAAAGATTGCTACCGGAAATTGTTTTTTTATGGTTCTACTGTTATTTCTTGGTCTTCGAAAAACAGTCTACTGTGGCATTATCAACTTGTGAAGCTAAGTATGTTGCTGCGTCCACGAATGCTTGTCAAGCTATTTGGTTGAGAAATGTGTTGGGTCAAATTGGCATTCCGGTTGAAGATTCAATACAGTTGCAAGTCGATAATGTATCGATAATTAATTTGGCCAAGAATCCTATAGCGCATGGGAGAAGCAAACACATAGACATTCGTTACCATATCTTGAGGGAAGCCGTGAATGAAGGGAAAATTGAATTGAATTTTTTAAATCTGAAGATCAAGTTGCCGATATTTTTACAAAGCCATATTAACTATGAATCATTTGTGAAGTTGAGGAAAATGCTTGGGATGTCTTCGGCGGAATATCATAATTAAGGGAGGGTGTTAAGGACTTATTATGATATTCATGGAGAATAATTATATATTAATTTGGTGATTATATAATAAAGTTTGATATATATTTTGATTTAGTGAATATTAAATAATGAATTATATAATAATATATGATTGAGTGAATAATGGATAATAAATTAGTGATATTTGTATTTATCCATTATATATATTAATATATATTGTAATAGCTTTGTAGAGAAAAAAAATCGAGAAATAAAATTTATTTTTCTCCTCTATTACTCCGTATTTTGTTAATTTTCTATTACCTTCGTCTTCCATCCATCTATTCTTTCTTTCCAAGCAACATTGCCTAAGTCAGGAGATCCAAACTCCCTCATAGGGCATTCATCATACATTTGTGTCTCTTGTACCTAGTTTCGCACTGAGGGCAAAGCTAATTCCCATCCTTCCACTCGTATTCATAACAGGCCTGCAGGCTGGAAAGGCACAGTTGCTGCAAGCAACAAATGGCTCACCATCGACAGACAGACTAACATTATCACTGTATATTTGACAGACCTGATTGCCCTTATTTCACAAGTTCTTCGTTTAGGAAATGGAGCACAATACTTTATTTACAAGAGATTTAAGATTTAAGGCTCATACTCGATATACCTTTACACCACTTCAAGGACAGATTTACCATGGAACCAAAGAACAACCGAAAAAAGGAAAAAAAGAATAAATAAATAAATTATAGTATTACCCCCAAAAATAAAAAATAAAAATGTTATTAGACAACTAAAGACTCAACAATAAAAAGTATTAATTAATCAAATTGTGAAAATAATAGTGACAAGCGATTTTTCTACTAACCTTGGTTTCTGCATCGGATTCTATAGTTAGCTACCTCTAATGAGAGTAATTGATTTGTTCACAATCAGCTATATCCTCCAAGCATCAATCAAAACTTAACATCCCCAAGCTGCTATGAGGCCCATGAAAAAAGCTGTAACATGACTCGTATTTAGAACTTCTAATCAAAAGAAGGCAAATAACAAGCTTAGATGTCATCGATCAACACATATGGTCTACAGATAGTAATAATAAAAAAGACGGCCTCGGTTTACTCAGTGGACACTTTCGGGTAGCGGCTGCGGGTTTCCACGTCATCAGATGTATTAAAATACTAAACATACAAAACAAAGGCAGATGCCAACAATGAAACACCAAACATGATAAACAAGCCTTGCAATCCACAAGACATATCACCGCAAAGAATCACAACATCTCATACAAATGTGATCAAGTAAGCCGATATTCAACAATGCTTCAGTCCACAAAAACATCCATCGTAAAAATCAACAGAGACATCAAACATCAATATCCACACAGCCAACACCACACAGGCACAAAAAAAAGAACCAAAAATCATTAATACGCACATATACATAACTATATCGTAAACTCACATGGCAATCCAAGTTGCCACCATAACCACCGTCTCCTAAAGCACCAAACTCTCCCTTGAAAAAAAAAAAAAAAGTAATCATTCAATAACACCAACAGAATCACTGCCAGGTCCAATCACCACACAAACACGGCCAAATAGAAACACCACGATCGACTCAATGAAAATGCAGAGTTGGAAAAGCAAAACTGACCGACACTACAGCCACAGTCCTTTCCTAATTTCCAGTTCCTGTGAGAAGCGTCGCATATGGAAAGTTATGAGCGTTTTTAATCAGAGTTGGGGCGCTTTAACCATTCAGCTTAGGTATTAAGCGCAAAGAGACTCAGCGAGTGAACAGATTCAGACGCTGATCCGGGTTCAATACCGAGTGAAATACTGTCCAGTCTGCGGAATAAGGCTGGATTGCTACAGCAGGCTGCCTTGGCTTTTGTCCATCAAAAAACCAAGTGCAAATTCCTTGTTGAAAATGATAGATGCTCGAAATTATTTCACTCCATGGTTAAGAAAAATTCTAAAAAGAATTTTATTGTAAATCTTACAAGAGAGGATGGCAGTCACACTAACTCCTTTGATCAAGTGGTGACGGAAATTCTGGAATTCTACTCGCAGCTGCTCGGCACCAGGGAATCTGTCTCAGAGCTGGATGATGAGGTCCTTCTTCAGGGCCCCACCATTTCGAATGATCTCCATGATACCCTCTTAGCTCCAGTCTCGCTGGATGAGGTTCATGGGGTGATTAAGGGTATGGGTATTGATAAATCCCCCGGGAGTGATGGCTATTCAGTTGGATTCTTCTTGGCTGCCTGGGACATCGTCGGGGCTGATGTTCACAGCGCTGTGTCGGATTTCTTTACGTACGGGCAGATTTTAAAGGAAATAAACCACACCAATCTTGTGCTGATTCCCAAGACCAAATCCTCTCCTGGAGCTGGCGATTTTCGACCAATTGCATGTTGCAAGGTCATTTACAAGATCATCTCAAAGATCCTTGCCAAACGGATTAATTTGGGTCTTCCTGCTCTCATTAATTTATCTCAAGGTGCTTTTGTCCATGGTAGACTCATGTCTGAAAACATACTTTTGCTCCAAGAACTTTTGAAGCATTATCTTCGGAAGCGAAGCTCCCCACGATGTCTACTCAAGCTTGATCTTAGGAAAGCTTTCGACTCCATCTCGTGGAATTTCCTGCGTAAGCTTCTGCACAAGCTGAATTTCCCGGAAAAAATTGTGAATCTCATTATGGAATGCGTCACGACGACCTCCTTCTCCATTCTCATCAATGGAGGCGCCCATGGCTTCTTTCGGGGTAAGAGAGGTCTTAGACAGGGGGATCCTCTATCTCCTTATCTCTTCATCCTTTGTATGGAGTATTTCTCTTGGCTTTTGAAATTTCAAAGTACTACTTGGGAGATCAATTACCATCCAGGCTGCGCTGATCTGAAACTTACTCACCTTGTGTTTGCGGATGACGTTATCCTCCTTTCACGTGGAGATCATCACTCCGTGGGGATCCTCATGGACTGCATTGCTGAGTTTGGGGCTGTTTCCGGCCTTCGGCTTAACGTTACTAAATCGAGTGTGCTCATTGCAGGTGCTGATCCTCCCCTCAATGATTCTCTGGCCGAGCTCACTGGTTTTACCAAAGGCAGCATCCCCTTTAAATACCTCGGTGTTTGTATTGGCCCCGGGAAGCCTAAAGTCTCTCACTTCGATGGATTGATCATCTCTATCTCAAATTACATCCGCTCTTGGAGCAGTTGTACTCTTTCATACGCGGGCAGATTGGAGCTCTTACGCTCGGTAATCCAAGGAGCCTGTTGTTTCTGGCTTTCCATTTTTCCAATGCCACCGACGGTTATCCAACATATTCACAAGCTCTGCAGGGCTTTTCTCTGGCAATCTAAAGCGGCAGCTGTTAGTTGGAACTTTATCTGCACCCCAAAGGAGGGAGGGGGTCTGGGTCTTCGTTCTTTATCGGAATGGAACACGGCGCTCCTCTGCAAATTCATATGGCGTCTTCACACTGATAAAGAGTTGTTATGGGTTAAATGGATGCACAATCGGTATTTCCGACTGCAGGATTTATGGACCCGATCAGCTCAACACACTGATTCTTTCTTTCTTAAAACCATTTTATCAATTCGGGATAAACTTGTGGCAGGCTTCGGCGATCAGCATCTCGCCATTATTGGTTTAACGCATTGGTTCGGTCTTCACAAGAACGCGTCTGCTGCCTACAGCTTCTTCAGGAACCCGAGTCCAATCTGGTTGCCTGCTCGTACGATCTGGAATAGCAATGCGCTGCTCAAACACACATTTATCCTGTGGCTCGCAACTCTCGGTAAACTCAAGACCAAAGATCGACTCCAGTTTCTGGACATCGACCCCTTATGCGTTTTATGTAAGGAACACAATGAAAATGTCAGCACCTCTTTTTCGAGTGCCCCTTTGCTTCGACAGTCTGGAATTGTATCTGCTCGTGGCTTCAAATTTCACCAGGCCTTAACAACCTCCACGCAGCGCTGGACTGGTTTAGAGACAACGTTAAACCTGGAACAGCTCTTTCTCTTATGCGACAAGCTGGCTTCGCTGCTACTATCTATTACCTCTGGACAGCCCGTAACAAAGGCGCCTTGGAAAATTTTGCCTTAGAGCCGAATGTCTCAATTGCCAAAATTAAAACTTGCTGTTTTCGTATTCTTTACTCCACAGGTAATGTACAACGAACAGGACGACCAGACATCTGAAGCTGGCCACTGGAAAGTGCACTCGAGATCAGCTGCTCGGTGTTTTGCGGCTACAAATTGGTAATCAGATTTCTATTTGCACCAGATTTTGCTTGAATCGACAGGAAAGTGCATTTGAGTGCAGCTGCTCAGTTTTTGCTGCTACAAATTGGAAAACCGGCTTCTTTACACACCAGATTTTACGGGGATCGAGTGCCTACATCTTCCATTATTATTATTGCAAATATTTTGTAATTAATCTGCTGGAACACAGATTGGGGCTCTCCCATTTTTACCTTTACTACACGATGGAATCCCCTGATTCTTTTGTCCGTGTCTGCCTGTGTGCAGACCTTAATTTCGTTATTTGTATGTCCAAACCTTAGCTTTGGTTGATCTCCCGGGGATGCCCTGAGTATTTTGTATTTACTATTTATTCATTATTTATATCTAAAATCCCTGATTTTTCTGATAAAAAAAAAAGAAAAAGAAAAATCCTAATTCTCTATTCATTCTAGCTCGGCACCAAATCAAAAAAGCAAGAATTTTTTTCTACCACACAAAAATTATACTTGACACAATATATAATTTCAATTTATCCCCAACTCCTCACCATCGTTCTACCTCCGGCTGAATCCCTCCCTCGACGCTGCTAAACTAGCCTTAGAGAAGCTCGACGCCGTAGTTCACACTCATCGAAAGCACAAATGTCTAGGAAGGAGAGGGGAAAGAGAAAGAAAAAAGATTGAGAGAACAAATACTTCCATCGAACTGGCCTTGCCTGCACCTCAAGTGCGAGGGATTCCAAATCAAGATTTTATTGTCAATTTTAGGGCCGTTGCGGAGGAGTTTTTTCAAGCGAGGGAGATGAGGCCGTCGATAATCTGAGAGAATGGTTCGAAAAGTAAGCCAATGTATGTGTGTACACTTACACTTCCAACAAATTATCCAAATCAACAACAATTCAACCACGTTTCACCACCAATGAACTAAAAACAACCAACAAAGTTGCAATACGCAAACAAAAACATAAAATATATTAATAAAATCACTAGGCAATAAAGTCACTAATTTTAAATCACTAGGCAATAAAGTCACAAATTTTAATTGATATAATGTATATTGATATATGGTATATATTGAGCACTAGAAGGTACAGAAGATCAAATGTCTATACAAGAAGCAAAGAGAAGACAAAACTCAAATCAAATTTACATTTTCAATAAATATATATATTTATATATAAATGCTCAAATTTAGCAACTAAAGGAATTTATAAAAAAAAGATATATAAAAAGAAATACTCTCTCTATCCCACTTCAAAAGGTCAATTTGAAATTTTTATAATAAATAAAAAAATTAGAGTATTTTATTGGTTAGTAGAAATATGTAAGATATTTTAATATTTTTGTCATTTGATTTTATGTATGAATTAATTGTATGTGTAACGATATATTTGTAATTTAGGTAAAAGTTAATAATATTTTGGTATTAGTGTATGATTACTTTTACTAAAATATGAAAAAAAAAAATTGTAAGTGAAACAGACGAAAATGGTAAAAAAGAATACTTTGAGTTGGAACGGATGGAGTATTTTTTTTTCAAATTTTCTAAATTAAAGATGGTGTAAATTGATCAAATATTATATATGTTATGGATAGATTGATCAATTACTAAATCAGAAGATGAACTAACTAAACAAAACTAAGGAATAAACAAAACTAAGGAATCAAGTAAGAAGAAAGAACAAATCGACCAAGTGCCACTAATAGAGCAAGAAAAAAAAAACAAACAAACTAACTTAGCGGAGCTAATAAAGAAGTAAAAGAATAATTGCAAGAGATTCAAACATAAGCCAATATTATTATAACCATGATCTGATACCACCGAATCATCTTCTAGTGGGACAGATAAAAATGACATGAGATGTGGTACAGATAAAAATGACAAAATGTACATGGTAAGTGGGACGGATGAAACATTTTCTTATAGTGATAAAAGATGAAAATATAGTTATCAAATATAAGTTTCATAAAAAAATAATTATAAACAATCAAATATTCATTAAAATATATTTTTACTTTGTATAACTCCAAAAAAAAAGTATGTATTTTAACCTTTTTTATTTTTCCTTTCTTGTACTTATATTTAACTTTAATATACCACATTTTAAATTAATATTTTCAATTTCTACCGTATTGTTTTTGTATGCCTTTCATAATGTTTTTTATTTTCTTTTTTTTTTTATCTTCTCTTTTTTGCCTTACCCACAGGTTTTTTTTTTTTTTTAAGCCAAACAACCACTTTAAAATTATATTGCCTCTATGCATATAATTATATCCACAATCAGTATATTTATTTATTTTTTTCATTTTAGTTCATATACAATGAATATATATTTTTAAAGTTAATAATTCCCTTACATTTTATGTAAATTTACCAAAATATCACTATTTTATATTATAATGTTTTCTCAAAATCATTTTAATAAATATGTATTCACGACAATCTTTTAAAACAATGAATTAATACTTTCATAAAAAAAACGAAAAGAAAAAAGTGTATAGTATTTATGTTTAGTTACGAAAAAGTGGAGGTTTGGATTTCGTTCTATGCGCTCACAAGGATAAGTTGGGTTCGTAGGGTCATATTGGGAACTCGGAGATCTGGCAGTACAATTCGGCAAGACTCGAATATAAGTGCGATAGGCTAATGGATCATTCGTTTTCGGCCAATTGATTGCAAAGTCAGGAAGCACCACTTGGATGGTTGGGCTGTCCGAAGACTAAAGGGGCGCGCTCTATGAAGTAACCAATTTGGGTGTCCAGTTTTCGTTTCTTGATTATATTTCGGGTTCTTGTATTAGCAACTCTAGCGCTTAGGGATTCGTATGTGATCTCAGGCACAACTCATCAAATTCGAAACCTGTTTTCGGATTCTACTTTGTTGGATTTCTCAAGTCAACAAATTGGCGACTACAGTGGGAGTAGAAACAACATTGCCAATCACACATCCCAAGATAGCTTCATTCGACTCCGATCTGGTCGAATTATTGAGAGAAGTCGCAGCCATATGACTGGTTCTTAGCCGCAAACCTCCAATACATCTGCGGGAAGCACGGCATCCATATCGCCCGTTCAACGGTTGAACAACCAACAAACAGCCACCATGCAAGCAATGTTGTGTTATCAACAAAATCCGATGCAAAATATGTTAGATCAAACTTTTTCAAGAGTCACATTCCAAACGGGTCCCTACACCCTCAGGAATGTCCCCATCTCGACTTCAGGCGAATCTCGCAGGGCCATCCTATATAGAGAGCATGATTCCGAGTGTCACTATTCCAAGCAGAATGGATAGGGGAAAGTCGTCTCTTACTTACCCTAATAATGTTCCAGTAGGAGCAAGAACATACCCTCTTTCGGGTTATTTGAGGGAAGAACGTCTAGGAGGACAAACACATGATCCCATCCCTATACACGACAACCCGCCACATAGGGTTGACCCTGAAGATGTCGCTCGCTCATGTTCTTAAAGTGCACTTTGGGATGAATCCTTAGATGGCGAACCGCCCAGCATATCAGAGGCCATTTCCGGAGAGAATTGTCAACGAACACCCCCTCCCAAGGAACTACCGACCTCCTAATTTTCACGTCTTTTTGGGCGAGATGGTTTTTCTACCATCGAGCATGTAGGCCATTTTACGGCTTAACTTGGTGAAGTTGGCAACGATCCATACTACAAACTATAGTTGTTCGGGCTTTCGCTGACAAGGACAACATTCTAGTGGTTTGCTAATTTGCAACCCGGACAAACCTGGGAAGGGTTGGAAGCTGCATTCCATGCCAAGTTTTTCAATCCCACACCAATAGTATCACTAACCGATTTATTGGAAACAAGGCAGATGAACGAGGATAGTGCATCTCAATTTATAGAACGCGTTCGGTTGATGAAAGGGAAGTGCCCGACTATGAGAGGGAGATGACCAATTTGGTGATTCGTAACATGCATACTAGACTAAGAGAGGCTTTGACGGCTCACGATATCCGAGATTTGGTACCGCTTGCGTCGAAGGCAGGACGTTTGGAATTTTTATTTGAGGAAAAAGATCAAAATCTAAGGAGAGGAAGATTCCAAAAAATGACTAGTATGGGGGCGGACGCATATACCCCTGAAACAACCGATTGCGAGGAAATAGAGAAGATGGCCGCCGAAGTTGTTAAAGGGAAACCTTATGTCTGCCCTAAATTAAAGCCTACGCCTAGGACAGAGTCAAACAAAGATCAGGCTACTCTTGATACCTCCAAGGCAGACGATATTTTTGATATACTGTTGGCTAATGGACTGATCTGTATTCCAAAAGGACAGCGGTTAGCCACCAAAGAAGAGATCAAAGGGCGACCATACTGTAAGTGGAATAATTTGTTTACCCATAATACTAGCCAATGCACCCATTTTTGAAAAGAAATACAAAAGGCAATTCGGGAATGAAGATTCAAGTATGTCACTCTGGGGGTTGAGCAACAACCATTTCTGAAAGTTACTGTAGCAACAATCGGCATAGCTAGAAGACATAAGTTAAAGGAAATAGTGGAAGTTCCAACCAGAGTAGCCGGACCGTTCGGACGGTACATTTGAAGTCGAAGTCAAGAACGGAACGTTCGTATATCCTAAGTCCATGCACAGGCCCCAAGCATCAAAGGAGGATAAATGGAACCGGAATCGGAAACCTTTACCCATCAATATTGACCCAAGGTTTCCTCGGATGAATCGTACGTAGATTAGGAACGCTAAGCGAAGGTTGCAGTTATGCAGGGGGAAACGGTCAAAAAGCGGTCGAAGTAAGCAGAATTAGGGAGTCTGAATCAGGTTGCGAAAGACAGGCACCCAAACAGAATGTTAGGATTCTGAGCTGAACAGAGAAGGAGCGCCCCTTTGCACAGGTAAAGAGAAGCTTTAGGTGTTCTTTCTGCCACCAAATTAATAGGGATCCTGAGGTGGATATTGCATTCGATCCCGAACCAATGGTGTTTGGAAAATTTTCACCAAACAAGGTACATGATTTACTTCCGTTGAAGCAAATTCCTTCCGAAAAAAGGAGCCTGGTGGACTCTAAGGAAAATCACGATCAGGTTACAGACTCATTCACAGTAAGGATGTTGGCATCCGTCAAATGGATGAAGAGCCAGTATGGGCTCATCTATCGGATGACCCGGTGCTTGAAGAAGAATGGGCTTCGCTGAGTCGATACGAACCGTCTAAAATGGCGAAGGTTATCTTCCCCTCGATGCCTAAGGAAGAAGTTTAACATCTGAAGCCCCTCTACGTGGATGCCTATATTTATGGGAAGCTTGTAACTACAATGTTTATTGATAATGGTGTGGTGTTTAACGTTATGCCTTTGAAAACCTTGTGCAAACTGGGTAAAACCGTGACTAACCTCACACCGATCGACATCCAAATGACAAGCTTTACTAGTCAACCTACGAAGCCAAAGGGCATGATGATTGCTCCTATAGAGGTGGGCCCGAAGACCATTTCTACTGTATTTTCCGTGGTTTAAGCAAATACGACATATTCTGTTCTGCTGGGGAGGGATTGGATTCATGCATCTCAGTGTGTGCCATCCTTGTTTCATCAGTAGTTGATGTTTTGGGAGGGAACTCAAGTCCTCACCATGGAAGCCAGCAAAAGTCCTTTCCGATCCTCGGATGCTGTTGAGAAAGTTGTTTTTTAGACAAGAAACTTCCCATTTATTTTTCAAGCAACATCGGAAAATGATTACCCATGGAAGAGCTTTAGGTTTATCAGTCACGGGTATATGTTCTCTTATGGGGAACAATTTTCAATAGCTAATAAAAGTCAACAAACGCCTTTCCCCCTTTAAAGATATGATGAATTGTTCGGAT